TTTACTGAGGACCTAGAAAAATGATGCTGTATAAACATTTCTGAGCAGAACTGCTATGTGAAAGCTGAACACTAATATGCATTCTCTTTCTAATCTCCCACCACCCTCCTTCAGTGTACTGGAATATATTAAAGGATTACAGAAATAAAGCAAATTAACTTGTTTAATCTAGTGTCTCTTTTATTTAGTTTTACTGTCCATATGCTCCTTACTTTGTGATCCTAATCCAGATGATCCTTTAGTACCGGATATTGCACAGATCTACAAGTCAGACAAGGAAAAGTGAGTATAACATATACATAATTGTGTGTGTGATACTTGTGGATGGTTATTTGCTATGCATCTTACCTTCTATCTTATAAGGATAGTCTTGTAATAGATTCTTACGGGGTTAGATTTTTAAGTCTTGAAAATACCTATCAGTGGAATGGCAAGCAGAAAATTGTAGGCATACACAACTGCTGGATGCTTACTAATTTTTTGTACTTAGTTGCATAAAACCTTCACACTTTTGTGTTTTGTCTTTATATTCATTGCATGAAAAATCATTTCCCAAATATGAGTTGTTTGTTGTTACTGTTACACTCTGGTTGCAAAAACCCGTGCCTTTAGTAAGATGTTAGGTATGAACAACAAGCATGGTTTTGACACTGTTTTATAAATATAGGATAGACTAATATTGAGCTCTTTTTAGTGTGAAGAACCATTGTCCCGTTGCAGTTTGCAGCATCTTACAGAGAAAAAGAACCTCTTTTACTTCCTAGAATAGCTGTAGAACTTGCAGGCAGTTTCTGATCTTGGATACCTGGAAAGGTAACACGGACAGCACATAACTGAAGTATTACATGCTTCTGGACAAAACTTGATTGTGATTTGAGAAGTTTTAACTCTAAAAGTACTTTACTGACTGGAACATCTGTTCTGGGGTCTTTTACTTATAGTGCGGAACCACCTGAATTTCCCAAAGTTCAGTTTAAGGCTTGCTGACTTCTTGTTGTACATCACACCTAAGGAGGGTTTTGAAGTGCTGTCTTAGAACTACATACATGGCCGAACCCTCACAATATCAGGTAACAGGATTTAGAGATCACTGGCAAGCCTGGTGCTTTGGCATAGTGGTGTTTCTTTTCAGAGCACTACGTCTTTAGAGTGATTCTCTTGAGTACTCCGACTCTGAATTGCAGAATCTGCGGATATCTAAGCAAAGTGATGTGCTGATTTCTTAAGAGCTTGTTGCAGTTGTGGGTGGCAGGAAGCTCGGGCCCTTTATTCTACAGATTAGACTGTGTGATTTCCAAAGGGTTCCATGGAGGAAATACTGCCTGTGTGAGAATTTTCCATCTTTGCTGCTTTCTGTTGATATATCAGCCTACCTGCTTCTCTTGGGCTTACAAACTTTAAAAACTTTATGCGTGAGAAAGGTTACAGAACCTGTGATTCAGGAAGGAAATGCTGCTTTGCTTACCACTGGGAGATTTTGTTGAACTCTGCTGCTATAGGTATTTTGAGCACAATCCAGGGTGTAGTCTGCAGTCCAACAGCATGGCCTGTGCTGTCTTTGGCAACAGGGTTTTAGCACCTGTGGATTTTCTAGGTGTATGGGGGATTAAGGACTGAAACACAAGATCAATTTTGGATAGTAACAAGGAGTCTCTAAGGTTTTCCAAATACATCCAGTCCTAATTTGCCAAGAATGGAATAAACTTCTCCAAAATGAATCGGCCACAAGTTTTCTGGTGGCCTTGACAATAAATTAAATAGTCATAGCCATGCAGCACATTCATAGACAGCCTAACCACCACTGTTTATCTGACTGCTGCTTCAGGGTGTGGGAAAGGTTATGGATTTAGTTTGGGGCAGACTTTTTATCCTTGGTACTTCAGCTGCTTTTTGGTAACCTTGCTGTTAACAATTTTAATTGTTAGACTCTTTGCTTCAGATTCTGTGGAATGTTTCTGATATCCAGAAGAATTTTCTATTTTCTGGTTAACTGGCTGAGAAGTATTTTAGCACCTAGTTTTTGCGTACGGAGCCATTGAAGACTTCTTGCAATGCATGCTAATGGCCTGTGGTTCATCACGTATCACAGGTCCATGAATATTTGAGCATTGCTTTTACCTTGAGGACTTGATAGAGAAGGAGCAATGTAGAAGTTGCATGGAAGTCTATGGTCTAGTATTTCTCTCCTTAGAGTAAGGATTCTTAAAATGGCCTATTTCTGACAGTTTGATGTCTGATGCAATCAAATTGCATAATCCACTTAGAAAGTGCTCAAACTCTGTAGCTTGTATTGCAAAGCAGATAGTGTTCAAGTTGAGGGTGTTGTGCCTCAGCTTCTCTCCATTTGTGTCTCAGTTTTTGTCCACCCACTTACTCGATAGTGATTTCAGTTGTTGTGCCTCCTGTTTGTGAAGGAAGTGAAATAGAGATATTTCTCCAAAACTCGAAATTTAATCATTGCTAGAGAAAGTGAGAGAACATATAGTCTTGACTATAGCTTTAACATCTTGTATTGATCACCTGTTAAGTTCTTTTTAATCTCATCTTGGATTTAGGAAATGAAAGATATGGCTGGTTACCCCTGAGCATTTATCTGTGGGTAGTATAAGTAAAAATCCGAAGACTTGCATTGTAGCATATTCTTAAGAAGAAAACCAATTAGTACATGATTTGCTATACTGATCTTAAGAAACAGATGTAAAAACTTGTCAGCATTTTCTCTGGAGGACGCAGAAGAAAGTGAATCTACTGAAGAGTAGAGTATAACCAATGCAAGGACCAGGGGGGAAGTTACTGACTCTCTAAGGATATTTACCTTTAGGAGTGCTAATCAGCTTGACACCAGAAGGAAAGGGCCCAAGACTTAAAATCTAGTCAAAAACGCTTTTCAGGAGATTTTCCTTTCAAGTTCTGAATGCAGATGACAGTACAGAATGGAGAATAAAAAAAGACACTGGGCCTTCTCTTCCCACCCTTTCCAAACCAGTTAATTATACTGAATTTTATGCAACTAAAATGTGTGAACTTTGTTAGACTGTTAATAGCATACACATTTGGGAATAATTGACAACAAATTCCTGTTAAAGTACAAATAAGGGAACCAGTTGTGGTTTTAATGCAAATTAAGTATGCACAATAATAGGCATTTTAATACAAACTTGTGACATTAGTTTTTTGAGTTTGAGTCTAAATAGCTTTGATGGGTAGCCTTAGAAACTGAATGTACAGTGGGTATATGTTTCTTGGCTTTTAGATTTTTTTAACATTATTTGAATCAATGCTAAGAGGCAAAAAGCTCAATAACATCTGTATTAAGTAAATACATGGCCGTTGTCAATGTATCACTAACAGCTCTTCACTGTAATGCCTTCTTTCTGCACGTACAGATACAACAGACATGCAAGAGAATGGACTCAGAAATATGCAATGTAAACTTGTGAAGACTTTTTCATATACCACATAGTACTGTAAATGCTAGGGTTTTTTCAAAATTAGAAGGAAATGGAGCACAGTTTACTGTTTCGATGTATCTTGATGCCCCTTGAATTTTTTTCACCCATGTAAACGTGTTTCTGGAGCAAGGGAGAACAAACTTCCAAAAATAACCTTATGACTGTGATAAGAATATTTATCCTCTTTGTATGCTTTGCAGAAGACATTTATTACGGTTTTTAAGAGTTGGACATCTGCGTCTTCAGACTACAAGATCCATAATGCAGTTGTAAAGCAACCAAATTATTTTTGCTGGAAAATGTAGCTGTTTTTATGTGATGAATACTGTATGTGTGTCCTTAAAGTATGTTGTCTGTTTCATAAGTGTGTTAAAATTTCATTTTGTTAGTTCACTTATATAATTTGTATTTTTTTACTGTATAGATTAAATATTTTATTTCCCATGTAAGTCATTTCATTTTAGACTTACCTGCTTGTGCACAGTATTGACAAGATACAACTGCTAGTAATGAAAATAATTGGAGTATCCCACTCGTTAGGATATTCTAAAGACTGACTGCAGATTTCTTAAAACCTAAAATGATCTTTGCACTGTAATTCTTTGTATGCTGATCATGGAGAAACACTTGGTTTTGATTCTGTTGCATACTTGACTTAATTTTATTGCAATGTGAACTAATTGCACTGCTATGTAGAAAGATATGTAACCGTTTTGTTGCTATTCACAACTGATTTTTGACATGTGGGCAACATAACACTGTCACAGACCTTTTACAAATCTAAATGTAGCCTTTTCCATATAAATAAAATGCATTTTCTACTACTTGTCTTGGCTTTTTTTTTAAATCGTGCATATCCTGAAAGTGCTTGTTCTAACCTTAGAGAATCAAAATGTTAAGTCTGCATGTGTCTTGTAGACAAAAGGGAAAATAAAGCCATGCATCATGTACTACTTAGAACTGTTTGCAATTAATTTTTATGCTAGCTTTAGCCTAATTTAGCATGCTATGCCCATTGTTTTATATAGGATTTCAACTAGTTTAATGACATGTTACATCTATATGCTTTTGTGGAGGAGATACCACAAGTGTGTGAACATCAGACACTTCAGTTGAAGTGGTGTATTTGCAGTATCAGAATGTTACAGTCACTTTCTCACACTTGAAGCTAGCTCTTCCACTAACGGGCACTTCAGTTGCTTCAGATGATGCATGTGTAAAACTAGTAGTGCTGGAGAGGGGCAGTGTTTTCTTGTAAAATAGATTAAAATCAGAAAAATTTTGATTTCCTACTGTACATTCTTCTTGGGTATCTGAAAATAAAAATGTGTGACTAATGTTTTTTTCTGTACCTTGCACATGAAAGAAAAGGGACTTGCAGTTGGGAAATTTGTCATCATAAAATGCTTTTTTAAGACCAGAAATATATTTGGTTCTTTTTTCTGTAATGAATGCCAAACTGGAATTTAGGGTGTGACAGAAGCGTGCACAGTAGGAGCTTGTATTCCTACCACTGGACTATTGTTATCTTCACGCTTGCTGACCCAAATGGTGGAAGCTGGTCACGTATGGGAAATGTCACTTCTGTGATGTCGTGATGACTTCTGAAACAAAAGCTTGATGGAGAGTGGCTCTGTTGATCTTAAAAAATACTTGTTCACTTCAGACGGTAAGCTGAATAAATGTGGGGGGTTTTGTTACTGAGTGCTTCATTACACTTGAACTAGGCCAATGCAGCGAGGAAGCCAAAGCCGTTGTGTAGACTCACTGCTAAAATGGTGGTAGCAAACTTCGACCATCAGAATGTGGCCCCAGAGCTGTTATTTTTTCTAGATCAGTAGTACTGTGTTTGTACTAGAAGTTACTTAAATGTTTGCGTTCTGTGTATTGAACTGTGTGAAACTGGACGTTTGACTTGCTTCTCGGAAAGCTTACGGGTTTGCAGGAGGGGCGGTTTGAAAGCATGGTCACTTCAGCTGGCCACAGGCACCGCAGTGACCTTCCCTCACGGTGTCAGCCAGCAGGCTCATCGCAAAACAGGAGACCAACAACAACGAGTAAGGCATTCCGCCTACAGCGTCTTCATAGGGGTTGAAGAACATAAAATCCTTACGCCCGCGCTGTTTTAGAGGCACGAAGTGAAGTCTTCGCTTCTTAGGATCCTCGCGGCGGTTCGGCATTTCTGCTGCTGAAGGCTGCGGCTGCAGGTGGCGTTGGGGAGGAAGGCGCGGGGGGAGGGAAGCAGCGCTGCTCCTGCTCC